AACTACAACTCCCAGTAGAGACGTGCCATAGAAGTTAAACATGTTGCGAAACAAACAATAGCCAGCATGTGTAGTTCTGGGGACGGGGTGGGGGAGGGGGCGACGGGGTGGACCCGTTCAAATCCAGTTTTGGACAGTCTGCCGTGGTTCCATCCCATTTCAAAGCATTGTTCGACGCTCGGCGTAACCCTCGGCGCACTCTCAAACATCCAATCACAGAGCTTGAGGACTATCACAGGGTTTGTCAAGCGAAGCGGAGAGAATACTTACTTCCGGGTGTAATATTCTCTCAACCAAATTAGCTGCTCCGACCCTCGGTCCTGACGGACTCCAACTTGTGTTTATTAATCAAACAAATAAATAAACACAAGGATAATTACGCTGTGAGAATGGATCTGCGGGTAGCATTCGCTCGTGATCTCAAGTCGTCTACAACATACGTTTAGGGAGCTATATAGAAGCTTATGGACATCCCGGAAAGTTGAAAATGTACGCTAAGGGCCGCCCCCCTTGCGTTGGAAAAAGCAGACACGGCCGCCCCCCCTTGCGTTGGAAAAAGCCGACACAGGGGACTTGACATAACGTCAACATAGGCCGACCTGGGAGTGAGGATGTGTTGTCACGACACGATATATCGTGCAGCCCTACACTTAAGGCTCACAGACCTACCTGTAGATGACACTGCGTCCTGTTCCCAGGTACTGAGTCCTCAGCAGCCGCCCGTCCAGGGTGTAGTCCTGCATGAAGGAGGCCTGGCTGTCTGGGGGAGTGTATATGTTCCTGTAGTATCCGATGGAAAGGAGCGACTGCAGGGTGTGCTTCACCATGCTGGGCATCGTCACGGCCACCAGGCGGTCTGTCTGGTCGTACTCAAAGACGTAGCGCCGCTGGCTGTGCAGCAGCAGCATAATGGACTGCAGGAACACACACAGATGCTGAGTTATAACGCTGTCTCTCTACAGTGTGATGAACATTTTCTTTCTTTTTTATTTCAATGTCAGACGGAGGAAATGTCTGCACTTTAGAGACAACCTTGGTTTAAGCTTGGGAAACATTTTTCATGCAGTCATTGAAGGCTAATTCTTAAAACAAAACAAAAAGGGGGGAAAATCACCACAAAGCTTTATTTTTTTATAGCAATTTTGTTTACCTTTGAACTTTTATTTAACTTTTCAGGCAAGCTTTAAAAACCCTGTTCCAGTGTCCAGTGGATATTTGAACAGTGTGAGCTGCAGTAAAAAAAATGTTGTGTAAAAATACTCATCTAATTTAACTGTGAGGTATGATATTAACGTATTAATAATACATGCAGGTATTATTCATTTCTAGATGGTTTTGTAATATAAGCTCATTTATGCTCTAATTTTGTCTTCGACCAGAAGCTGACACAAAAATGTATTTCTGGCCGAATATCACTTCATTAAATATTTCAATTAATTTTCTAGGGCGGAAATTATAGCTTCCGGTAGCTTTCAGATTTGTCACACTCTTAAAAGAGCATACCTCTTTAGCATTTTTAATTCCCATAAAAATCACGACATATGGGGCACATTATTTCTAACCCTTTTTAAAAGTGCTTTTTCTCTGTACATCTCGCTCTCAGGAAAACGCAGGTTCAGTTAAGTGAGCCTTGAAACTCGATTTACGTAACTCCTCACAATGAACAACTCGCCTGCCTATGCAGCTCTCAAAGCTATAGCGCGGATGTGAAGTCATGAGGGCATCAAGTGCAGACTGCTTAAAAAAAGTCTGCACAGTAACTGAACTCTGACATAATCTTCTCTCTGCAAATTGATTTTCATAGTTAGGTGAAATGAATGGAACCCAATGGCTGCCTCAAAGGGCGGGGGAAAAACGGTTGAAAGAACAGACCTGTATGTGTGAATTTGTTACTTTCAATTCACACAGAAGAAGAACATAAAGACTTTTCATACATTTTGTGTTAGTTTCAGTTTTAACTGTGACAGCCTTGAAGTGGATGTGTTAGGTTTCTACAAAAACAGAGGACTGAAGCCCTCAACAAATCTCAGCATGAAATAGGGCCCTATTACGCTGATTTTCAGGGTCATATTTGTATTTTGAGCCTCTACTTTGACATGTTTACAGGCTTTAATGTTCAAAAAGCTCTTTATTTTTCTCATACTGCCAGCAGCACCTCTTTTCACCCTCTGTCTGAAACCAGAGCCCAGTCTGCTCTGATTGGTCAACCGCTTAAAGATGTTCCGACCCTATCATGTACAATGTGTTGCATCGCTAGCCAATAGAAGCGTGATTGTTACATAGTGATGTCACTTACAAAAGTAAACAAAGGAGTCCACTGGAGGTGTTTCAGGCAGGAGGGGGGGGGCAGTGTGTGGGACAAGCTAACACACACACACACACCCTTTGGGGTTTAACCTTTATAGACCAATTACATGCGTAACAACGTATCTAACACACTACAGGAAAGGGAAAACCCGAAGGAGCATAATATGGCCCCTTTAGGAAACTGTCTATCACATCCACACCCCCCCACACCCGCCCCTGGAGCATGTTCTCACTTTGTCTGCGTATGTGTAGCTCCAGATCTTGCCGTTGACCCAGGCTCTTGACACCACCCTTTCGTTCTCGTACTCCAGCCGCTCAGACCAGTCTCCGCGGTGGATGGATGACAGCAGCCCTCCGTCCGAATAGCTGATGTTCACCTCGGTGTATTTGCTGCTGGGGGACCAGACCACGGGCCGCCCCAGAGAGTCGTACTGGATGTGGAGGGTGAACTTCCTGTGGTCGTCGTAGATCTTCCCCACTCGTGTGTTCTGATCAAAGTCTATAGACAGCAGGTTCCTGTTATGTGCCTGGAAAGAAAATCAGTAAAAATGTCAGCCACAGAGAACAAAATGTACCTTGTTTTTAAATTGTACTGCTTTATAATCATCATCAATTATAAATAGGGCCATGGACATGCAAATATAAATATAAGGGCATGTCTGGGATGAGCAGAGATTTCATTAGTTTGGAAAAATTAGTTGTGACATTTAGAACAAACTTGACCGGCATATTAACAATCAATTGCCTTTTGAACAAGTGAGGAACCGTGGCCCAGAGGGAATGCTAATTAATTAGCACACATCAGATAAATGTCCTTATGAAATATTCTGTTTGTGCCGTGTACTTTCTGCGAAAAAGAGTTGAAGTCGGTGTGTGATCAGTTCGCTCCTAGTGACCAAATTAATGGAGAAACTGTAGCGAGGCTCAAACAGCTCCTCAGTGTGGCTCTAAACAAATGAAAGACTCACTGAGTAGATTGCACCTGCAGGTGACATTTCTTTGTCATTTCTGATGGGAGTGTGTAAAGGTCAGATTGCATCACTTTTGGTTATATCAGCACTTCTAAGATGTGTGATTCCTATTCACACAGTTTCTATTATATTTGGCTGGTGGTTGGCGGTTTACTGGTTAACGCAGTGAATTCATGGATACTGTGTAGTAATGCATTTCATTTTCCAAACTACAGTTCACTACCATTGCATAAAGTGAGAAACCCTGAGTTATTTTATGGATATAACATGATACATACAATTTGAAGCAATAATACATTATTAACTGCACAATTAACTCAAATTGAAACTAATAATTGCAGGAAGTTTGTGTAAAAAAAGTGATTATTTCCTCCTACTATTGTGTGAATATTCCTGTTGTTTTTAATTTCTTTGTAATACTCTCTCTGTATGCATTATTATTTTGTTTTTTAAACAGTTGAAATAGGCTTTTTTTTAAAAACAAATGTATTGTTAGCTCCTTCTAGAGAAACTTCTGTGTTTCTATCTTAATAAAATAAAAGGTGATTTCTGTTACTATTGCGTAAATGATCCTGATCAATATTTAATTATGTAACAATACTCTGTCTGTATCATTATTATACACTTATTAAACAGGTGGAATGGGATTTTTTTACAAATTAAGTGTAAGCTATTAAATCTTTAGTACACTGCATACTACTCTATATCCTTAATAATAATCAAATCTATAATTTGTTCACAGAAATGTATAGGCCCCGAAATGTAATAAAGATGGCATTTGACCCATTATGAATCCTTAACAATCCCTACTGGGGGACCCGACTTTGAGTTTGGGAACCAATGATTTAGGATTTCCTATATTAAGAATACGTTTGAGCTTTAGTGTTTTACCCTGAGCCTGCGCTCGTAGGTGCTGTAGTTGCTCTTGCTCTGCTCCTTCCTCTGCCTCCACTCGATCAGGCTGGGGGCGTGGTCTCCGGGCAGGCTGATGTTACAGCGGCTGGCCGTGGGACTGACTCCGCCCCCTGCTCCTCCCGGGAGGAGGGGCTCCGTGATGAGTGACAGCTCCATCCCGCTGGCCAGGGTCACCAGGAAGGACCCGTCGGCGCTTACTCTGTATGAACTCTGAGCATGGTCTAGGGTCCATCGTCACAGAGGTGCAGAGACACAAACACACAACCACATTAACACCATGGATGAAAAAAAGTGTGAAAAAACATCAGTGTCTCAAAATGAAGGTGAGAAAAAATTATGACATGCAGCAACATCAATGCAATGATTACAAATCAAACTATTTTTATGACAACTTTGTTTAAATTTGTTGCTGAATCTAAAAGTGTTTTTCAAATTGTCACAGCAACTTTAGCTGTACTGTATCAGCTATTGTATCTTTGAAAATAGTTAATCTATTCAAAAAAAGAGCAGTCGAAAGACAAAGGCAGACGGAGAGAATAAAGGGAGAGAGAAAGTAATACAGAGAGAAAAGGGGGAAGTAAAGTAAGGGTGGGGAGCTGTGATAGTTTGTTCACACATTGCAAAGGTTTCTCAGAAACACTTCTTTCATTTTCAGTGCCCTGAGAAAGATTTCACACATCAACATCACTTTGAACCATTTCTGAAACACACATTTAAAAAAAATTGCAAATATTATCATAAAACAATATTTTTACCATTACATTTAATTCTAGTAAACTGGGTAGTAACTTCAGCTCCCTGCATCGCTATAAACCTCTTTCTGTACATATGGTTATTGTTGCCTTAGAGGCAGGAAGAAACACCAAGAGTTTGTGGATTGGAGTAAAGGGGGGGCACTAAAATAGGAGGTCATTTCAACTTATGCCTGGCAGCTCTGTCAAACTGTAGCACGGCGACGTGGCTGTGTGTGTGTGTTTGTGTGTGTGTGTGTGTGTGTGTGTGAGAGCGGCTTTTCTCTCCCTGCAGTGCTGTCATTGTGACAACTGCTAGAAAGCAATTAAAGGAATGACATGAGAGGAAACTGCTCCCATGAGCGGCTTCTCCACTCCACTCTCATTTTCTCCCCCTCTCATCTCTGCCCTCTATCCATTTTATCCCGCGGACGTTAAGGCGTTTCACAAGTCACCTTCTGGATCTGCCTTTCTTTTTTAAATACAAAAATAAATTGTGCTTGTGATTAAGAGTTCACATCGAATGCATGTGTTAATAATTTAGATCAAGGGATACATCATTTTTTTACAGCTGTGAATCTCGCGCACACACATCCAGGTGAGGGAAAACTGTAAGGTCAGTGTGTCTGACCTGACCAGAATAACAGCCACGTTATTACAGTTTGCCAGTCATACATTTTTAAACATCACTATGCCCTCATGGTTCGCACTGCGTATGTATGTTGTCCCCCCTAGATCCCTCGGTGAGTCATAAATGGCCTTTCGGCATGTTTTTGGTGAACTAGATGGGGGTAGATGCATTGTGGCGAGGCTATAATGACTCTGCATGTCAACCAGTGAATACACATTACATCTGTGCCCCTGGATTATTGCAAACCTGTGTAAACTCCTCTCTTTCTGTAGCTTACTAAGACCGACCTATGAGGAATAAAAAAACACAATCTCTCACCTTGTCTGAATGTGTAGATGGTGTCGCTGGCAGACAGGTTGGTACTGGTGATAAAGTTCTCCCGGTTGGACGCCTCGACCTCCACCCGAGACCAGCGTTCAAGGTTGCCATGGAAGCCGCTCACCTCGCCGGTGGGGAGGGTGATGTTGGTCAAGCGACCCTCGCTGTTGTACCTTGGGAGAATAAACACAAAGCCGATGATGTACAAGCAATACAAACACACATACACAGATAACTGTCGCGCTTGGACAAATGAAACACAGTCGTACGCTCACACAAACGCACAAACACACACTTTGCGTATTCACTATCACTCCATTTCCCCTGTCATCCGCAAACATCGGAACAGAGTAAGTGTCAACTGTGATTTATATGTGTAATTATCCAGCTGTGGAATTTGAGACAGAGACTCGGTCGGCAGTGGTGAATAATTCAGACGGATGTGTTTGTGTGTGTGTGTGTACTATCTGTGTGATACCAAACATGTGTGTGATCAAAGTGTTGCAGAGACGGCCTTCAGCTAATCAGTCACTTAAGCAGAGATGAAATGGGGGAAAAAAAGTCTCTGCAGCTTTTTAAAGTGATGGCCTACCACCAGATGGCACTCATATTTCACAACGTTAACATAAGCTCTGTCTCATATTCAAACATATGCACATTCAGGCAATCACATCGATATATAACATTCATATTCAAGCAACAGAGAGTGGATGAAATGAAAGATAAGCGAGGGAAGGGGAAGGGGAAGAAAAGAAATAAGGGAAAGAAAAAGATAAATAAAGTAATAAAAAGGAAAGGCACAAAAAGCAGAGGAAAAGAAACATACTCATAAACAGTGGTCCAACTGTTTTCATCACTCTTGGTTGCTAGGAGACCGGTGTTGCCATGGTAAGTGATGTGGGCGATGTCATGGCCTTGGGCTGACACCTTCCGCAGTGTTCCACTGTTGCTAAGAGACAGCCAGTACACCTGTCCGCCAGGTAGGGCCAGCCAGAGAGGCACTCCGTGAGCGTCCCGCCGCACCTGCATCCCGTGGCCGTCGCGGTTCGTCAGCCCCGACAGCTGGCCGTCCGAGCCGTAGGAGAAGTTGTACAGGAAGTGGCCGGTGATCAGGTGTTTGGTGTGCATGTGGGAGCCGTTCTGTCGGGACAAAGAAGAGATGGGAATTTGTCAGGGTCGGGTTGTTTAGTCAAATAAACAAGTTATTTGCCAAACTGCATTATCTGATTTAAACTTTCCCATTAAGTAGTAATAAGGACATTGTTGGCTTATTATTCAATTATGTTGGCTGGGTTAATGCACATGGCATACATTGTTGCACAGTGTAAGTTTTTCCCCAAATGTTTTGAAGAACCTCAACTCAAATAATAAGTGTATAATACTGCGCGCCACAATACAGACACTCAGACCCTCAAGGATAAAATGATCCCCATTGAAACCCATTACAAGCACAGTTTTTTATCCCACGGCCATTACAGAACAAAACCCTGCGTTGTCATTTCACGTTTTGTATCTAGAGCCCTGGCTTCAAAATAGTTGTTACTATTTTCTACCAGATTGAGCCATTTTCTCATGTTTACCCTATGGGGCAAATGCATGCTATTTCTTTATTGTTTCCACAAGGGTTATTGCTGCTGTTTAATGCGTTTGATGCAATGCATCAAAATCAATGTGATCGCTAATCACTGACATATCCCAGACTCTAACCAAAAAATCCCCCCCTAGCATTTCTGTTTCACATAAAAAAAAAAAAACGTGGCATTGTTTAAACTCTTTGAAAAAAAAAAAGTATTTGGAAGTTATAATCAGTACTGAATTTGCATACACAATTTAACTCAGTTAAAAAATATTACATATTATTTATCATTTTCACTAAGGCAAAGGAAGGATGACTTCAAAGCCATTCAACTATATAAATAAGAAGTCATTATAGCCTGATAAGATGTCCAATAAAAAAAACTAGGGGACAAACAATATATTTAACTTAACTGCTTATCCTTTGCAAGTGTAACTGTAATGTTAGTGCGTTTTATGCAAACATGGTGAATGAGAGAGAAATATCTGACATGCTAACCTAGCTAACATCATGAAATCATTTATTCTAATGTTATTAGCATTAGCCGCGTTCACACCGGAGTACTTTTCCCACTTTAGTTCCGATATAGTTTCGAAATGTCGCGTTCACACCAAAAAGAGCCGGAACTCAAATTAGTTCATGAGAACCTTTTTACCTCCTTTTCCGTCCCTGCTAGAGAGCAGGGACTCTCATGCGGCTCTCTTGTGAGAAAAGAGCTATATTTCTGATTGGCTGGGCGGATTGCAAACCACGCCCCGTAAAACTCAAAAAAAGTGTTGTGAAGCCACCATTTTATTAGCATTATTAGCATTAGCATTAGCCCAGCGCAGAAACGCAGAGAGACTAATTTATGGCAACACAAAATAAAACATGGGAGCGGTGGAGATGAGGAGATGTCGGCGTTCTGGCGATTTACTCGGAAGGCTTCAGTAGAAGCTGCTGGGACTCCCAGCAGCTTCTACTGAAGCCAGTCCCCAACAACCGGGGACTTCCGGCCGGGGATTTTGGGCGGCAGTATACGCCGTGAAGTTGTTTGCGGCCTGCCAGTAAACCCAAAGCAGAAGAAGAAGAAGTGACGTCATCGGCTTCAATTGCCTAATCCACCCCCAGGGATTTATTCCGGTGTGAACGCGAGCTGTACTTAGTTCATCAGAACTAAAGAGTTCTGATGAACTAAGTTCTCATGAACCTTTGTGGGAAAAGTACTGCGGTGTGAATGCGCTTATTATGTTTGTAACTTAAGTTATATTGTGTTATAGGTAACATCATGAATACATGTCAGGTCAGATACAGTATGTTGTCTTTATAACATAATAGGCTACCTTCTGTACTCTTTAAACAAATCATATTAGAACGCTAACGTTAGCCTTGTCAGTTGACTTAAGCTTGGTTCTCAACAGATGGCCTTCAGTCATTTGTACTATCAGCTATACTTTTTGCTACACTCCAGTTACAAGTTTTACCAGGTGATGTTTAAGCTTCGCAAACTATTCAATTTCATGTAACTTGGGGGAGTAGTATGTAGGTATAATAATGCTCTTTAGAAATAGCTCAGGCATTGAGTACCTGGCTGAAGAGATAGAGCTCCTGATCCAGTGGGGAGCTGATCTCCATCAGTCCAGCCGGGCTAGGCTGAGGCTGGTTGGGGCTGACGGCTCTGATCCGGATGTTGCCCAGATCAGCAATATACAGGGTGCCGTTGGGGGCCACGGCCAGAGAGGATGGGGCTTTGAGACGAGCGTCACGTGCGTAGCCTCCATCTCCTGATGACAGAAAACAAGACAGTCTTTAGACGAGGACACACTCTTTTTGGAAAAAAATAGCAAGAATAAAAGTACCCTCAGATATTAACACAGTGAGCATTTCAGATTATTCTTCAGAGAAAGAGATCTACGCAGCTTAAGCGTTTATCAGTTTCGCTCAGGACTTGGACTTGTTGTGATGCTGTAGCTTCCCAATGGAGTTGATATAACCACCTTGATAGTGACCCCAGCGTTATCAGAAGGTGGTCGTGGGTGACTGAATGCATTCAGAAGTCTTTGGTAGCACAGCGGGGGTGAGGCCCTTTAGATGCTGTCAGCAGTAGGCCCGGGCCTCTGATGGGCCGCAGGCGGCAGGGTTGCAGTTTATCTTTTGACGGCATGCACATTACGTGCGTTTGTATGTGCGTTCATGTCTGTTTGTATTTGTACTGTATGTGTGCATGTTCAAAGACACTGTATGACAGTCTACAGTGACGGGATGGAAATGGAAAACCTCTGAAGAGAGTAATCATCTGTTAACAGCAAGACATGATTGAAAATATGCAAAGTACAACCCAAGAAAAAGGGACGGTTACAACCCATTGGCTTGTGGCATGGGAGAGACACTTCCCCTCCATTTTGAATAAAAAAAGAGACAGATTTTATGAGCAGAATTAAATGATAAAATCGTATGCTACGACACTTACAATGAAAGCATGGCCTAACTGTCAAAAGAACATCGGCTTATTTGTTTGGTCCTTTCCCTCTTCCGCTTATTTCATTTCAGGTGCCCTTACATGAGACACCCAGCAGTGAAAACCTTCGGCAGCTAGAAGAGAGCTTTTCTCTTTCAGCAGCTGTAATTTCAATGGATTTAAAAGGTTTCTCTCAAGCTGGTTCCTGCTGAAAATTAGCTGGAGTCTCCCCATGAATACCAATACATCCCCTTCATACACACACACACACACACACACACACACACACACACACACACACACACACACACACACACACACACACACACACACACACACACACACACACACACACACACACACACACACACACACACACACACACACACACACACACACACACACATTTACAAAGTCAAATTACATTCACTTACTCTTCCATTATGACATTATAGATAGTCTTTGCTTTTGTGTGTATTGTCATTATATACACAAACATCATTATCATAATTTGTTCCTTTATTATTTTTGGAGGAGAGTCAAAACAGCCGTTCTAAGATAGGGAAATATCTGAAATAAATAATTTAGACACATTCAAGTGTGCAGAGAACAGTGAGAGAGACATTCATGCGAGAAAAAAGGTTCCTCTCAAGCTAATAAAATCCGCAGGGACAAAGATGCAGCGAGATTTAATTATTCTGTATCAAGGAAAGGACTGTTGCAATTTATTAACGTTGCGTCATAGCTTTTAAAGTCCTCTTGTTTTGTTTCCTTCGATACACGCCTGAACCAGGCCAAGTAAGATATGATCTGATAAGCTTTTAAAGTGCAGTTACATGTTGTTTTTAGTACTATGTAATCCTATAAGACATAATCTAATAGTTTCACATTACTTAATTATACAGTCACATCTGTGTGTGTGTGAGGACCCACCAGAGAAGCAGTCACAGTTGGGGTCGATCTTACAGTCACAGTCCGTCGGGGCTCCGGAGATAATAGATATCTCCCCGTTGGTTGACACCTGTGAAGTGTTCAAAAACGTTAGAAAGTATAAAATACAGGAAGATAATGTTCAACAGTTTATTTTTTCCATGTCAAATCTCTCTGACAAACAAGATAATGATGGCATTTCATGAAAACCTGAGCTGGAATGCAGATTAATGATATGAAAATGGCGACGATGTATTTTCTCTGCAGGTGCTTCAACCAAACAATCTTAGATGATATCTCAGGTGCCTCTTTTTAATTTCCGGGAAAAAAAAGAATTATTTGTCTTTCCCATTCAGACTAAATGGGGCTTTGCCCGCTGACAGATTGATAAATCTTTGCAACTTGAAATCCAGCTCTCCAAACAAATAAAACTAATTGTCTTGATGGAGAGTGCTGCTGAATATATGAGGGTGTACGGTGCTACACCAACAGATTGATTTTGATTAATCTTGGAGGGGTAATGTTTCTTAAGTAGTCCTCGGAGAGCATGCTACATTATTTGGCTTATTGACTTTAGACAGAGTTAGATGAGAATATCACTCTCAGGGCTGTAGTACCTCTGAAGTTATTAACACGTTTTATCTTGTTTGTTTGGAGAAACTGGAAGGCTGGTAGGCACATTGTGTTCCTGTTGCTAGCATAGCCAGCTAAGCTAACTGCTGCTGCAATTATATAGGGAGGAAAAAGGATATTTTTTAAAGATAAAGTTGTGAATTGAAACAAATCAAAACAAGGTTAGGTTTTTAAATATGGTCATGGTTTAGCTTTAAAAAATATATTCGTAACGTAATTTACACAGGTAAATTAAAATATGTCATTCTTGGTTTCCTCCCTTTGTGCTTTGACAGTTTTTTAGGAGAACAGGATGTGAGAGAAGTACAAGAGAGATGTGCTCTTGTAAGATGCAGCAAGAAATCATAAAAGTGTTAGAGACAACATGTTGAAATAATCCTTTAAAATGTGATGACATACTGTAATGATGATGGTCGTTATTAATCAAACATCTCGGAGTAGAAAATCAATCCTAACTACGCTTAATTAAGACTTAAAAGTGTCCTCCTAGAAATATAATTAAATATATACACATAGTATACAGTACTGTGTGTATAAAGAAGAGCTTGAGAATTCAAATAATGAACAACCTCTGGAATGAATTTGAAAGTCTTGTGACTTGTTTGCGAAAAAAACATCTGACTTTCAAACACTGACCACTTCACAGAAAACAATTTCTTCTAATTTGTGCTTGATTGAAAATAAAGAAAAACAGCCACAACCAAGCTAATTTGGAATGCAATTTAATTTTAATTCACCTCAAAGCTCTAATATCAGGCATATTCAATGACTCTCCAGCCTCTAAAAAATTCACCACATATTGGTTATGGATTTGGGGTCCTTGATGTTTTGCCCAAAGGTTTTGGGGGTTGCTTGAGACAGAATGACGCGTCTGGACTTTGAGAGCAGACCAGCGGCGGTGCCAAAGCCTCGCCTAAAGACTGGTGCCAAGGTACGTTCACATTTAATAAGGCTTATTATACTGAGGAAGAAATACTTGCTGGATTAACAGTACAAGACGCAGCTGGTGTAGCCATTTAAGATGAAATGTAGCGGTTAATTTGCGTGTCATTTTTTTAATCAGCTTTAAATATATTGTCAGTCTGTACCTGTACGCAGCTAGTCTGTCATACAAGTGACAACATTTTCTGTCTTTAATTGAGTTTTTCTTGCATCAAAGTGAATCTGCGTCAGCCTGCCAGGTTCATGAATTTGTTGATTGTACATCAGAACCACTGCGAAAGTCTGCAACACATCACCGGTAATTTATTTCACGATTCATTTTCAGAAAAATGCTTTCATTCACTCTCAAAGTAGAACTTGTACTTGCTGCTAAGACTCTGTGCAGGAACCTTCATAAATATATGTGAATGTTGGGTTGCTTGCAAAATATAAGCCTTTAGAAATAATTCCACCATAAAATAAGAGTGATAAATACAGTTAAGAAGACTTCAAAAGACTTGATTTCCCTATCCAACACGACGGCCCTGTCTCCATCAAAAAGGCATCTGAGGCGTTTTATGTTCCTGTCTGCCTCCACATGAACTCAGCGTGGTGCTGCTGACCACAAAGGGACTATTGATCGAGTCTAGCAGGCAATATCTTTGTGCTGCTGCTGCCCACATGCTGCGGGGCTCTTAAAGCATGCTGCTAGCTAATGGAGCTAATGGACAAAAAAGTATTATTTCCAAAAGTGAAAACAGACTTTTGAGATTGTTTGTTAGATGTGATGGGGTTTGGTATGTGCATTTTTAAGAGGCGGATTCTGAACACTTTTCTTGCTGCGCAGCTTCTGCAAACGCAGCAAACAATGAGACCACAGTGATGCAACAAGTGTGCGGTTGAATACATGTCAATAGGCCAGATGGATGGCTGGTTGTAACTGAGAAGTTTTGCTGTTTGTCAGTTTTTCTGGAGATGTAAATACATTGTTGCAAGAGCCGTGCTCTGTGATGATCAACATAGGCTTGCAAGAGATAACACCTGTTCTATAGAATATTTATATATGTATACTTTGTAAATATAATTGTATGTTTGCTATAGATGCTCTTTGGGATCAATAAACAACATCTAATCAAATCTTATCTATTGCAATCCAACCTAATCTAATCTAAATTATTGCAATATGTTAATACGATGGATTAGTGAATCTTGATAATTAACACATGGTAAACAGCCCTTTAAAGGTCCCATGTCTTGGCCATTCCTACTGATCACAATTCCATTGTTGAGGTCTACTAGAATATATTTACAATGTTCAATGTTCCAAAATCACATTGGTTTCTCATACAGCATCTCTGTAAAGTATGTGTATTCACTCTCTGTCCTAAACGCCTTGTTGGAGCTCCTGCCCCCCCCCCTGCCTGTGGGCCCACTGTGCTCTGATTGGTCAGCTCGCCCACTCTGTTCTGATGAGTCCACCACCGTTACAGTGGAACATCAGTGATTATGTGTTACAATGGCGTTAGCAACCAGAAAATGACACCAGTAATGACAAACAGATGAGAATGCTGCGTGGGGTCTGGAGGCCGTGTTGGCGGGACGTTGCGCGACTCGCTGCTGTGAGGAGCGGACAGTGTGAGCTGGGTTACTGGTGTCGTTTCCTGGTTGCTGCGTGGGGTCCGCGAGACAGCGAGACGAGCTCTGTGGGGCCGCCGGCACGGCACTTGGTCTATATCCAGCATCCAGGGAAACACAGCGGGAAATCCACCTCACACTGTCCGCTCCGGGAGCCTCGAGGGGCGGACTCCTGAGCTGCTCGGGAGTCCACTCTGGCAGAGGGTGTGCCTATTGTTTTATAGCTGTGTGCCAATTGGTCCATTTGGACGTAGTGACGTCAATAGGCCCCAGAAGACAACAATGGAAATAGAAAAATCTCCAACGAGGCGTTCTGGGGCAGCATAGACAGGTCTTTTCTGTGTTAGAGTTTTACTGCATAAAAAGCTAAATAACACACAAGGGGACAGGTAATAACCGGAAAAGCATATGATGGGACCTTTAACATGAGGAAAGTAATGGCTTCAAGTATGTATTATTAAAAGCTTTCTGTAAAAATTGGAACCTTATGGTTAACATCAGATCAGTAGATTTAAATGACATTATTATTAGCAGGTGCCATTGCTCTCTGATAATTCACAAAGGCTGGCATTGGTTTGAACCCTGAGTAAATAATACACACACGTTGGCAAAAATGGTATGGCAATATGTTAAAAAGTTGGATTAGGAAATGTTGTGCATCTTGATGAAAATCAGAAGGGTTACCAATTTCCAACATGAAGGAAGTAGTGGATTTAAAGGGGCCCTATTATGCTCATTCTCCGGTTCATGTATTTTAGCCTTTGCAGACCGTTTACATGCACCAAAACCTTTATAACACACTGCAGGAAAGGGAAAACCCCCAAAGCTATAATACGGCCCATTTAAAGATGTCTCACGCATAATCTTGGTGTGAAAATGTATGGGGTGATGGCTGGCATTAGAAAAGTAGATTTCAATGACATGATGGTAGCTGCTCTATATTGACAAATCATAGCATCTCTAGCTTATATTAAATGAATGTTTCAGTATTTTTAGTGACAGTGACCTGTTGGATGCGGTTGATGCGCCTCTCGTCGGTCTCAGCGATGTACAGCGTGCCGAGGTGGGATAGTGCGATGGCCTTGGCTGCCTCCAGGGTGGTGCGCACCGCCGCCCATCTCACCAGGTGGTGGTCGATACCGGGGACCTGACAGTGGATGGGGCGGCCCGCCACAATACGCACCTGGAGGTTTTCTGATACCTGACATGGAAGAAAAAAAATACACTTTTTGGTATAGGCTCTGTAAAATGCAGAGAGAAAGCTAAGTTAATGATATCAAATGACATCAAATGTGTTGCTGCAGTGGATCAAACCTCCACACCTGGATCTACCTGATCTGACATCTCATTATGGTTTCACATGTTCTAGAGTGATTAGCATAACCAGAGGGACACACAGTATGTATGCCAATGTCTTTCAGAAAATATATGCTTGAACAAAAACATTATTTTGAATTCAGTCTCTGGGTAACTTTCACAATTTAATGAATTTATTACGGTTGCAAATTCACAACTTGTATATCTTCCAATACTTTTATATGATGCTACCTATTTATCCCCATTAATGTGTATTTATTTGAGCTTTATTTTTAAGAAAAAAAAATACGAATAACATTTGTTCTCTTTATCTGCACTGCCTCTTTGCTATAACAAGATAAGATAAGAAGTACTTCATTCGTAATATATTGATTCTTATTACATTTTTGTGTTGCAGCAGCATAAAAAGACAAGGCATTGTACATTTGAGAAATGTAAGACTAGAAATAAACAATTGAATATGTAAACATCTCAATAGAAATAAAATAGCATCACAAAAGAAGAAAATATACATGTTACATTTGTATTTTTATAACAATGTACATTTCCCCGCTGTGGGCCAAATAAAGGATTTCTGAACTTGAGATATTTTTGTGTGTTCTGATGGCTTTTCTACCTGCAGGACGATGTTGTTGTCCAGGATGTAGAGGGAGTTGTCCAGCGGGTTAATGGCGAGGTCTGTCGGCCACTCCAGACGCACCTGTAGAAAGACACACACACACATAGGCAAACACAGACAGAACATACAGTGAGTGTATTTCTATCAAAAATGACAACAGGAGAACAAGAGAGCAGTGTTTGGCTATCGCCCACCATAGTCAGCTACAGGTGTTACAAATAATGGCTCCTTAATAACACAGCATTAGGCCTCCTGACCCTCCCTGTTCATGCAAAGGTCAGCGGCGGCCAGGGAGCCTTCCCCGTGTTTATTCAAGACTCGCCTCGGCACTGTCGCAAATGTCAGCCAATAACCATGATCGCTGCGGGCTCAAATAGCACTCCCTGCCCGCTAACGCTGTGGGGGTCAAAGGCAGGCAAACCTACACCCGCTCACTGCACACCGCCCACATCCCTGTCCGCCCATCACACACACACACACACACACACACACACACACACACACACACACACACACACACACACACACACACACACACACACACACACTGCAAGCCGCTGAGACGGTTCGTCTGCAGGATCAGCGAAGGTGATTGATGACTCCGACGATGGATTGGTAAATAAATGGATCATGTTAAATTGCCACTGACATGTCCAATTATAGGCACTGTCAAATGAGAGAGAAGAGGGTTCACTTTGAAATCCCATTTTAAGAGGTAGAGAGATTCATCAAGCAGGACTCAGGCTGTCCTTAGCCGAAGAGGACACGCATCAAATCTGGTGATATTGAACTTTGCGGTGCTGGCAGGCGGTCACTTTCACAAGTTGAGTTGAACTCCAGAGCTGGGCCCCGCTCAATTAAAATCAAACTGAAGAGAGAAAATAAAAACATTTGATAGGAATCAATATTCCTCGTGTTTGTTTTTGATTTGTGCGCTACCGTGGTGATTGTGCCTCGGGTGTTCAGGAGGAGTTTTTGGTGCGATGTCTGTGTGGGCAGGCAGTAAAAATAGTTCTGAATACAAGAGCCACACATGTAGTTAACCAGCAGGGGGGCTTTGGATTAGTGAGAATGATGTGTGATTTGGATCTAAATGCATGTGGGAGTCTGTACATTAGTGTCAAGGCTGAGGTCAAGGGGGTTTTGACAGGCTGGTCTTTTGCCATCGCTACAACTGATACATGACATTTGACAGCTTACACTACAGGAGGTTCTGAAATAACACTAGAGAATTGTATTGTATAACAATTGTTGTATAATTGTCTAATTTTCAAGGAAATGTCATATTGTTAAAGCTTTATTTTTTTGGTTAATATTTCATTCAAATATTAATTTTTTTTATTTATTTTGAATGTCTTAAATCTCAAACATATAGGAAATGCATGTCCTTAGGAAAAAATAATTCAGAGATGTTTTTCTGAAGAAATACGTCACCAATTCTTTATCAATTTTTACTTTATCTTATGTATTGCTTTTCTGTTCTATCCTCACAATATAATATGAGTATAACATTTCCCCACAGGGATTCATAAAGGTCCATCGTATCTTATCTTAATTCATATTACCTTTTCTTTTTTTTTATTGAAAAGATTCGGCTGAATAAAAAAAGAGAGTAAGAAGAGTCAAATGAGTGTTGAAAGAAAACTGAAAGTTAGTTAGCCCAGTTTGCTAACTTCCACTTTCAAAGGGGATTGCCAATTTATCAGCACGGGGGGGGGGGGGGGGGGGNGGGGGGGAGTCTTGTATCAACGTTCATAAGACATCCAGCACTAGTCAGTAGTGCACCACAGGAGTTGGAGCTTAGAAGCTGCTGTATCAATTCAGATTATGTTTCCTTATATATAAAGTGAGACTTCAACTTTCATTTGGACTTCAAGCCAACATTTGGCTTGTTTATTCTGCATAAATTACAGACGTGTTGTTTGTCTAGCCGTAGCTATAGAAGCCAGTTTCCATCAATACTGATGCCACACTGAGGTCACAGCAGTTTATGAGAACAAACACAGATGGAGGATGAATGAGGCTGGACGCGCTGCAGGGCCCGATAACCAACAAACAGACGGATTGTGAGGTAACACGGGCCCCTTTAAAGACATATAAGAGCACCTCTGGGAGCTCACCCTGGCTGAACACGCAGATTCACACACACATACACACATTCACACACACATATTGACGCACATTCACAGGCACTTCCCTCCCCTATGTGTGAGCATAGATCCCTCTATAGAGCCAGCAGTTCATCTATAATTCATCTTCTGCTCTAATAGGCCTGATATAAGTCAGCAGTGTGATCTGAGGGCTGGCTGATCAAATCTGTGCAGTGGCTGTCTACTCTCTCTCTCTCCCAGAAACCCACACACACCTATAAGAAGACAAACCAATTTGGGGTCGGTCAATTGAGATTGACAAAACAATCACCAACTGTAAGAGAACAACAACAACATATCGGTAATCTATAACCTTTTTTGGGGTTAATTACTTTAATTAGGCGCCACAAAACACACACGAATGAGTCTTATTTCTCGACAGATTAGATGTTAATTCGGACAAAAAGACGCTGCTCTGGCTCTTCCCCAGTTAACTAGACAGCTTTTTTAGCTTACCTGGCTGATGTCCATACGTGCATCACAGCTGAGCGGCTGCATCGACATCAGTCCGTTTGAGCCAATCACGGTGGAGAGCAAACCCCTCTCATTAATCTTCTGAATGGTGGTGCCATCGACGAAGTAGACGACACCTCTTTTATCCACTGCAATACCTGGGCGGGTGAGAAAGAGAGAGGCAGAATTAGCTTTTTTGAAGTGCTAGGGTGGGAGCGCGTGGGGTTGAGAGAACAAAAACGGGAAAAAAAGAAGTATAAGAGAGAGGGAGACTGAAGAGATGGAGAGGAGTGAGTCAGGGGGAAAAGTAAAGTGGAGAGGGCTTTGGAGAGGCGTCCAACTCGGTTAGACATTCAGCTCAGCAAGCGGCTGTCTTATCAAAGGCACTGCACCACGGAAATGTAATTATATTTCCATTCCGCAGCCCACTAAAGGGATTAGAACAATACAACCGGAGGAAGAAGTTATTTGTCACATTAGATGTGAGCAGGGTGCCGCAGTGAACCTTTGACATGATGCGCAGGTAAATGTGCATTATAAATGTGCATCCAAGAATCAAACATGTGGACGTCCGCATGTGTGCATACGATCCATGTGTGTATGTTTTGGCTATGAGCGGCGTACATTTGAACTCTGCTTGCATCAGATGGAGTAAGCAGAGAGATAAGTCCACTGGTATGAAAGGTCAGGGCAGACTGTGAATCATCTGTTATGGATGAGGAGCGACCTTCCTCCCCACCTCATCTCCATACATACAATAGCCCTTTGACTCAACTCCTTCAGCAATAATCTCCCTCAACTCAACCCTCACCTCTCGTACCGTATGCCGCCCAATTCTCCCCGATTGCTTTCGCTTAGCGCCCGCGACAATAAGCCATATTTCAATATTCCTACCTGCCATCTCCAATGCGTTTGGCTCACTGATGTGCCATTTAAATATACACTGTGTTTATGGTTTATCATTAAGGCGTGTCAAGTTTATGTGTATATCCCTTTATCTCAAGCATGCCTCAAAGGATAATGGAGATAAAGCCTTCTTCTAGTGGATATAGCCACAATCAATCACACAACTAAATGGCAATACAATATGCAACAAAAGAAACCATAAAAACAATCACATGGAGCAAAGTAGCATGTGGAAAAGAGGGCTACAATTCACTATTGTTGATTTATCTGTCTATCACCCAATATTTCTCACATATTTACGACAACGGGGCTTCATTAGTTTGAATTGGGGTTTCTGGCCGCCTGCATGTGAACTCTCCTATTTGCTAAATGTTTGGTCCCCACCAACTCTGGAGGGAAATAGGTGTCTCTTTAGCCGCTAATTTATCTACTATGTTCAGCAGCTAGTTGTTAACTTTGTTCGTCTGACAAAAACAGTGTTCTGCTGCGTGTGGTTCATGAGGGCTGTAAGTGTTAACCACAAATATTACAGTTGCAGGAAAAAAAAGACTTTATAACGCTCAGGGAAACTTCAGAATCAATGATCATTCTCAGTGGATTCATTACCACTAGGGACCCATTTCAAATTAAAGTTAGACAATAAGCCATTGTTGATACAAAAGTATATTGATGAGTGCAGCTTTGAAATGTCAGAAAACGATGGAAAAATCTAAATTTCATGGAGCAGAAGGAGATGTCTTCAAATTAGTTTTTATTATTACCTAAGCCAAGGGGGTTATGGTTTTATGCTGGTTGTTTCTTTGTTTGTCTGAAGGAAAATGAAAAAAATACTGGCTCAATTTTAATGAAACTTGGTGGAATATCATTGGATATGGAATAACCTCCTGAATTTTGTTGCAAATAGAACTTTATTTTCGCTCATGGAAACGGCCCTTCTAGTAAAACTATTATACCAGAGAAGAGCTGAGGAGAAGATGACCAGTATGATATTCTTCGTACTACTTACTCAATATTACTATTGATCACATTTCTGTCAATCAAGTAACCAATTTTGGATCTAGATAGAATAGTCTAACATTCCCATTTAGCAACCCTGAGCGAATGAAACTTCTAAAAAAAAGGGTTCAAAGAGTGATCTCACCGTGCAGAAGAGCCGGCACATCATAGTGAAAATGGACAATGAAGCGAAACCATCAGTATGCAGTACGCCTCCAACTACCCTTTCTCATTCAGTCATCTTGGTCCAATTTTCCCTTGATTTCCATTTGGGTTTCTGTCAGTCTTTCTCCTTTCAAACTGTGTCATGCGGGACTACGCGTGGATGTGCCCGTGCTCACTTTCTGAGCCCCAGATAAAAATCATTGCTGCCCTTTTCCCCAGGCAGCACTAAGGTCTCATCCTCCTTGACATACAACGGCTTGCTTCACACAACGCGATTTCACACACACACACACACACACACACACACACACACACACACACACACACACACACACACACACACACACACACACACACACACACACACAACTCGATTCACCGATGTCCTTAAAGCGAGCAACCCTGGACCGACCCTGAGTGTCATAAATCGTGCAGGTGGAGGGGAGGTGGGCCAGGGGGGAGGCCCAGGGTCACTGTGTTTCCTCCAGGGGCCAGAAGGTGAACTGCAGAGCTCTCCCTCCTGGCCCCCTTCATCATCCCTGTGACACAGATATATCACACCACCCACATAGCCTCACCCCCCCAACATCCACCTACACCCCATCCTCCCTAACTTGATCTTCTTCTGCTCCCTCTTCCCTCCACCTTTCTCCTTTGCTTTGTTTTCCACTGTTTCACTCCCCCTACCTTGACCTGTATGTTATAAGAGCTAATCAAATCAGCGCCCTCTGATCCTTCAATGATGTCTTGGCTCCGTTTCCCTCTGTTCGGGCCCTTTTTTCAATTTCTTCCTTTTGTTCCTCTCTGCCTTCCCATTTCTCCTCCTGTCACCTTGCATTACGCGGGAGCGACATCCCAACCCACAGCGCGGTTTCAACCTACTTCAGCTCTGTAGATCTGAGCATTCTCTCCGCTCTAACGCCATCCTTGGATCCTTCCCTGCTTTCCTTTCACTTTTCCAAACGTTCCTCCTGCTAGCACCCTAAACCTGTCCCTGATCTTAGAGCTCATAAATCCTGCACAAGGACATGACGAGGTAGCAAGGACTATCTCGCAATACCGATTCCTCTTCTCTCCCTCTCTGTCCCTGGATATTACTCTTGC